AAGTCAATAAGTACATTTCTACACGTTAGATAATTGTAGATCAATTAACTAAGCCCACGTCTAGAGATATGATTCATAGCCACATGAAAAATCTTTAGAGTTGCTTAAATAAAGATGTATCAATTTACATGTTCTATGTGAACAATCTATTATTTTTTCCACTTGAGTTGACTTATATTGAATGCTATTAATGTCATTAAAGTTTAGTACTTTGTTTCATAAAGCATGCACACATGTATATGTATATGTATATGTATATATACATATACAATATGATTTAAAAGGTATATCAGATAGATGATTGGCCTTCTCACACAAATGATCATTTCAATGGTTTGTCACCATGGAAATGAAAGTAATTTTAAGCTATAGATCGAGAACCCAAGCTTAAAATGAAATCTCCTTAATAAGGGATCAAGATAAGGTCACTTAATATTGAGATTTGTGATTGAAAGTGAATAATCCCATAGTTCACTTTGTCTTCAATGCTAGGTAGAAGTCCAGTTGATTATTTGAAATCAAGCAGAGTTGTGGACTCAAGTTAGATACTAGAAGTATCTGAACTATCACCTGTATAGTATTGATATATAATAATATAGGCATACACTCAATGGGAAAAATAGAGTAATACCATAGCATGCGTTTAATACTACATATGCATTATTCAACCAACAAGGGTAACAAAAGAATAGAGCTCTACTTCTGGTTGTGTAAGACCTTTAAAATTAAAAGATCTCATATTTAGTACCCTTAAAGACTTTCGACTATTTCTTAAAGTTTCAGTTCAATGTTAGCTATATTGGAATGTTACCAATAATCATGGATGATTCAATTTAATAGGACATATCTGAAAAGCAACTGAATTGAAATGGAAATGTTCTAGAAGAAGGGAAGATTTTTTTGGAGTCACATTTGGTTGCATTCATAGGCAATATAATTGTGAATAGACAAGTATATCATGCAATATATAAAAGAGAGATAATGAGGAACTTGAAATGTAATTAAATGGATCTAGGGTGTTGCATACTTACTTTACTTGCACTTGAGAGCAATTTAATAGGTTTATTACATTTGCTTTTTTCTTAGGGAAATTTAATAAAAAAACTCCATTTAAAATTTTTTTCTATAATTATTTTTTATTAATAGATTATTTTTTTCTTTGTTACATAGAGTTTTTTAAAGTTGAATTTCATATTAGCTTTTTAATGTGATTGAATTGTTTTTACATTTTAATTGTTCAACTATTTATTTTTTTAATTTTTCTTTAATTACTTGTTTTATAGCATTGATAATTAGAAAACTTTCATTAGAATTATTTATTTTTTTGGTTATCAAAATTTTAAAGTTATTGTTCAACATGCATACTATTTAATTTTTCTCAAACTCTTTTTATATTGTTACTTTTATTTTATTTTTAAAAATTATTATAAATTGAAATTGACATCCCGTGCATTGTATGGGCTTAATCTAGTTATTTGTTTAGCACCAAAAAAAATAAAACTTAAGAACATATACTAAATAAATCTTAATCAAGCTTATTTAGCTTAATGTTTTGTTATTTCAAAATAAGGATCAATTCAATATTAACAAAAGTCAAATTCCTTAAATTCATGCAAGAACCAAGTTAAGCCAATTTCGGTTCATGAGGAGGCAAATTTAAAGTTTCAAATTTTATTGCAAGTCCATGTAATTCTATGTAGGTGCACATGCATTGAATTATTTTAGATGACTTTGCAAGTGCTTAATTCTCAGTGGACTAGCTGACTTAAATGCTAGTTGGCAAGCTAGCTTAACGAAGTTTGAAATTCTATTTGAATTACAAGAGCCTAAATCGACCTTGAAATTCTAGGCTGACTTAGTGTTGTTATTCTAATCCTAGTTGGAGTGGGAAAATTAAAGAGGTTGCATGAAAAAAAATTCCTAGATGCAATCGAAATCCTAATCTTTTTTGGAGCTAGAGTTAAAGTGCATGGGTATTGAAGATTACATAAGAAGTCTCTTAAAATCAAAGTGGAGTTCTATTTGAAGTTGGAGTCAAAATCCTATTTGAAGTTGGTGTGGAAATTAGCATGCATGCAAGAGTTTGACTTGAATTCCTACTTCTCTATGAAATTGGTGTGTGAAAAAGAATACATCAGAATTAAAAGATCCATTGTTTGGGATGAATTCCAAGAAAGCTTTTAACTTTATAAATTTAAGGAGCTGCCAAGCAAGAGCAAGACCAAACATTATCATTCTCTTTAAGAGTTCAAAATCCACTCAAAGATCAAGAATAGATCCTATTAACTTCTTGAAGCCAAAAATGAGTCTTGATGCATTCTAGCTAAGAGATTCATTCCTATCCAACTAAGATTCAAGGAAGAAATTAGATTTTGCTTCAAGAACTCATTTCATTTGTACTATTTCAATGTAATTTAATAATTTAATAGTTACTTAAGTTTTATGTAATTTCAATGAAATAATGATAAGGGTATTTAGTAATTTAATATGTAATTAATTTTATATTATGATAAAATTTAATATGTAATTTAATAGAGGTGTTATAGTAAATTTTAAACAAAATGCCACATGTCATTTTGTAAATATGATAGATGTGATATTATAATAATTTTTACCAATTGTAGTAGGAGAAGCATTATGATAATTTGGTCAATTATGGTAAGAAAGGTATTATAGTAATTTTTATTGATTATCGGTACAATAGTATTGTTATAATTTTAGACACATGTCAAACAATTATCAAATAATTGGAAAAGCAATATAGTAATTTTACTTTTAATTATAGTTGACTAATTATGGTGGAAGGGACATTATCATAATTATACTAGAAAGATTACGATATTCATTTTTGAAAAGACTCAAATTTTCTCGGATATCCATTTCAAGAAGCCTAGAGTCTTGTAAATGGATACCCGAAAAGGTGTGAGATTTCTCGAATCTTTATATCCGAGAAGCTCGATTTCACTTTCAATCAAAAACCTTAAACATGTGTTTATGAACCCATTTACTTGATTATATATGCCAGTGGAATTGAAATCAATGTTCTTAACATGCATGGGTTAAACTCGTTCTTTCTTTTAAGCATCTAGAAAACTAAAAACACCTTAATCATTTTTATCCCATGTACGATTGAGAACTTGATCTTTTTCATTCGCACATATGATCAAATAAGAATGGGCACATCAATGACTCATGTGTGTGCATACATGCTAGTCAAAGCTTGAACATCTTATAAAACATTGTTGCTTGACAATATCGTCAGCGAATTGACAAATTTGACAGTATCTAATCTTTTAGCCACCAATCCTTACTATCAGATTTGCCAGTCTATTGATATTTTTAGTGGCCTAAAGATTAAAGATTCGAGTTTTCCCATTATCAAAAGTTTATAATTAAATATATATTTAAAAAAATTATGTATTCTCAAAATTGAATTTTCATGAATACAAATAATTCTCAAAAATTCATTTTTGAGAAAGCAAAATAATTCTCAGAAAATGGATTACCGAAAGGTGTGTTTTGTTCTCAGTAATTCATTTTAGATAATTATGTTGCTTTCTCAAAAATAGATTTCCAAAAACACAATATAATTCTCAGAAATCTATTTTTGAGAATTGCAAGACGGTTTTTGGTGTATAAGCTATTAAGAGTATTTTTGTCATTTATTAAAAGTTAAAATTGACATTTGGTATGTGAGAATTTTTTGAAGAAAATTTTGGAGGTGTATAGAAAAAATTTAGTAGTGTATTTAAAACCCCCTTTTTTATAGTTATAATAGAAAGGGCACTATAATAATTTAATTGATTATTGAAGTAGGAATATTATTGTATTTTTTAATATGTGTCAAATAATGGTAAAATAATTAAAAAGATAATATAATACTTTTTACTAAAATTGTTTTAATTATATAGTCCAGATTTAGCATTTTTATTAAGCAACCTCAATTTGATAGCTTTGTTTTCAACCTCGTAACTAGTATTATATCATCTTCTTAACTAACAAATAAATTATAGGTATGTGAAGTTAAAAAGCACTATACTTGCTTGAGAGGAAAAGAAGAAGAAGAAAGTAAAAAATAAGCTGGATAAAATAGAGGACAAACTTGTTTTCCTTAGAATTTTGATTTTGCTTTAAATTTTGATTTTCTAAAAAAAATCAGATTATTAATTATGATTTCAATTTAAATCTCATCAATAAAAGAAGGTTTTAAATTTGATATTTATTATCCTCTTTTGGTAATAATAATCAAACATTTTATTAGAAGTTTAAAAAATCTATAGGATCTAAATGTGAGAAACATGTATACCACATGAAATTTATGTGAGTTTTACCCATTTTCAAATATAAAATAAAAAAGAAACAAACATTCAAAGGTTTTCATGAATCAAGTGGAGTTAAAAGTCAATAAGATAAAATGACATGGAGGCCTAGAGCTTCAACCTCTATTTTAGAGGTTTGAGCTTAAATCTTGATACGAGTGGAGTAAAATTTAGAGTACTACTTATTATTGAATAATCTAATATCATATATATTATTTGATACTTTAAAATACGATATAATAACACGACATAAATATTATATAAAAAAATATAAAAATAATATGATTTAAAATTTTAACAATAATTATTATGAGTTTAATAAAATAAAAAATATATTTTATATTTTTATATCGATACGAATTTTAATAAATAATTTTTATAAAAAATATAATAAAAATATATAAATTTTAATATTTTAATGATACAAATACACAAAATCGTCATATGTACTTATACAAGCCTAAAAAATAGTTGGGCTAAAAATTTTATGACTATTTTTAAGAATCTAATATCACGATTTGACTTTGAGGACTAAATTAAAAATGCACGAAACATTGAAGACACAAAATGCCATTAATCAGAAAAATTATGTAGGAAAAATAAAAAAATGAATTAGTGTAAAATTGTAATGTTTCTTTGCAAAACGCTAATTCCCTGTATTCCGGTATTATATATACTTCGTATGGTCGCTTAATTCTTTGCAAAACGCTAATTTCCTGTATTCCGGTGTTATGTATACTTCGTATGGCCGCTTAATTTTGCTTCTCAAACTCTCCCTTTACCTGTCACATTTGTCCTAAAAAACCCTAAAGGGCCGCCGCCGCCCCCAAACGCCATCGAAAATGTCTGTCTCTGAGGGATTGGTTCTCCGTGGCACCATGCTAGCCCACACCGACATGGTCACAGCCATTGCCATTCCCACCGACAACTCCGACATGATCGTCACTTCCTCACGCGACAAATCCATCATCCTTTGGCACTTAACCAAAGACGAAAAGACATACGGCGTCCCTCGTCGTCGTCTCACCGGTCACTCTCACTTCGTCCAAGATGTTGTCCTCTCTTCCGATTCCCAGTTCGCTCTATCCGGTTCCTGGGATGGTGAGCTTCGTCTCTGGGACTTAACTGCCGGAACCTCTGCTCGTCGCTTTGTTGGCCACACGAAAGATGTTCTCTCTGTTGCCTTTTCCTTTGACAACCGTCAGATCGTTTCGGCCTCTCGTGATCGAACTATCAGGCTTTGGAATACCCTTGGAGAATGCAAATACACAATCCAAGACGGCGAAGCTCACACCGATTGGGTTAGCTGTGTTCGTTTCAGCCCAAATGCTCTCCAACCCACCATCGTTTCGGCTTCGTGGGATAAGACTGTGAAAGTTTGGAACCTGACCAACTGTAAGATTCGTAACACATTGACCGGACATTCTGGCTATGTGAACACGGTGGCCGTTTCACCTGATGGGTCTTTGTGTGCTAGTGGAGGAAAAGACGGGGTGGTTCTGTTGTGGGATTTGGCTGAAGGAAAGAAGCTTTACAGTCTTGATGCGGGTGCGGTCATTCACTCGCTTTGCTTTAGTCCTAACAGGTACTGGCTTTGTGCTGCCACGGAGCAGAGTATCAAAATCTGGGATCTTGAGAGCAAGGGCATTGTGGAGGACTTGAAGGTTGATCTCAAGGCTGAGGCTGAGAAATTTGAGGCTACTGACAACGCAAACAAGAAGAAGGTAATAATTCTTTTCTATCAATACTACTATTCTATGGTTCAAAGTCTTCTAATGCGGCTATTTGTTTGAGAAGCCGTTTTGGCTATATTTTTTATTGTGTTTGCACTCAAATATGATTTTTGTTTATTTGCAATGTCATACTTAGGTTGAATGCTTTGATTTAATTTGTTTAATAATTGGCATGTTAAATTTTGGTAGGAAATTTTAGTTGCAATGCAGCTTTACAATGATTAATCGTTGAACAAATGCTATATAGCTATTCTTACATCCTAAGAATTTGACTGGATTTTGTCTTTTGACATAACGAAGATTACTTGTTATTTTTCTGTCTGTTTTGAACATTTAGATGGGAATTAGGCTTCTTGGTGGAATACCATTTACCATGAATTTATTAAGACAAACATTTTAATTACCCTTTTTTGTTTTGATTGCATCTTTTTCACTTTGACAAAACATTTGTGTTTTTCCAGAATTTTATTTACTGTTTCTTGAGCACATATAAACTAGTTTTTATCTTCTTGTTTTTGAATCTGGAGTTATTTGCTCATTACTTGGCTGCATTTGAAATCATAGTCATGCTTCTTATGAAGTTTATTGTTTCAAAACATACAATTGTAATGCTCAAAGCTTGAACTTGTCATTATACCCCATGGTAGAGTTGGTACTCGGGTTGTGTTTTTTATTCCTCAAGCTGTAAAGAAATTATTTTTTTAAGAATTAAATTTATATACTGGATTGTTTTATTTGTTATTGCAATGTAAAAGTTGGTTTAATAATTCTTCTGATTCCTGTCTTTGCCCTGGTTTTTATTGGCTACAATTTAGCAATTGGCATTTTCAGGATAATAAGGAATTATTTCCATTGATTGCAAGCAATTAAAGTTTTTCATTTATTTGGATTTTGCAGGTCATATATTGCACAAGCTTGAACTGGAGTGCTGATGGAAGCACCTTGTTTAGTGGATATACAGATGGTGTAATCAGAGTTTGGGGAATTGGTCGTTACTAGATGCATGCTTGAGTAATCACAGCATGAACTTTACGTGATAGATTGGTTGCCCTTTCTTGTAGCAGTTCCAAACCTTGTTAAGATATTGTTTAAATGTTGAAGGATCCTTGTTTTGTTTTTCTAATGTTTGGATATTGTTGCTAGGCATTGAGGCCTATGCTATTTTGGTTTGTTTATGAAGTTGATATTTAATTTATCTACGTTTATTGTCTTACTATATGGTTTGTGCCCAAGTTTTTGAGTTTGAATTAACTCTTGATTATTGAGAAAGTATATTTATCGCAGTTTTGGTTTCTTTGTTTTTAAATCCTTATTCAAACAATAATAATAACTGGGGGAAATAATGCACAGATGATGAAGAGAATTGAATTGTTGAACTTATCATTATTATGTATGGTAGGGAACTTGGAAAAGGGGAAGGAAGAAAATTATGTTAATCTAATGGTTGAAATTTACAGTATGTGCTATTTTAGAGTTTAATAATAAGATTATACACACATATATATATATATATATGTATTTCTTTTCCTATTTTTTTATTTGGGATTGTAGCGTTCTTGAAGTTAAATATATAAGGTCATACAGGTTATTTTAATCAAGCGGAATTTGGGTGGTGGATTGTTGTAGGGGTGTGGTTGGTGGGTGGGCGATTCTAAAGTTAAGATCATAGACCATTCTTACAAGATGAGGAGGTATCCTTCATCGATTCCATGCATTTACTACTTTCTGAATGTTGTTTTCTTTTCTGTCTGAACAGCAACATCCTGCACTCAGTCACTGTAATTAGTATGTCCTGAAGGTGGATTTCTTCTTCTTTTGTTTGAATGGCAACATGTTGTGCTGGTTCGGTATGATCATTACTTAATAAAAGTGGTTCTCTTTCTTTTCTTTGGAAAGGGAACTTCTTGCGTGCGCTGGTTCAGTACAATTATTATTCTATGAATGTGGGTTTCTTCATTTCTTCCTTACAGTATCACGCGCACTAGCAGTCCCAGCCAAATTTTCATCGAACATCTCTGGAACTTCAGAGAACAAGCTTGAGCTCCTTTTCTACAGCTATCGTCTCCTTTTTTTTTTTTTTTGAAAAAAAAAATGCTTGTAGCATAAGAGAAAAAGGAAAATTTAAGAGATCTCTAGCAATTTGAGTAAAAATACACCTAAACAATGGGAAAATTATAATTTTGATGAATATGCAAGAATTGAAGTAGGAATAATAACAAGCAAAATGAACATAGAGGAACTTTCTCATTTTGTTGAATAGAGAGCTATGAAATTGAATGTCAAATCTCACCTTAATGCTCCATCATTTTCAGATTCTGGTCTCATTCCTCTGCATACAAAGAGAAGAATCGAACTAGAATCAGGAGAAAAAGTTAGAAGGAAAAAAAAAAAGGGAGAAACAGAATGAAAATAGCTTGAATATCGTACTTTCTTTCCTTTTTTTCTTTACATGACAGATTTGTATTTTCAGGTTCAGAAGTTGTATTTACCATTGGTAAGTAAGAGAAAAGTTAAATAACACAGATGAATTTTGATTAGCCAAACAAAGTATTTTATTTTCAATTGTTAAGTGTCATATTTAATTGATCATAAAATTAATCAATAATATGATCGACTTAAATGATATCATTAATTCACATGATGATAAATGATTTATTACTTGAAAATTTTTTAATAATTGGATAAAATTTTCACTTTTCACAAATTACCCCACTTCAAGACATGGATATGTGTGTGCTTGCCATGTACTAGAGTCGTGTCTTGAAGTTATTTTTTTCTAATTAATGTCATGAATAATTTTTAAATTATAATGAAATATTAAATTTTGTAAGTGAACGTTAAAAAATTTAATGTAATGTGATACATAAATTATAAATATATTAATTAATATGATATTTAAAGAATTATTTGTTCACCACTTATCATTATTTAAAACTAATTGTGTCACCCCTGCTTCTAACCAAACTAATTACCATTACTTCATTTGCCACCGTGACTACCCACTATCGGAAACAAGAAAACACACAACAAGAAAAAAAAAAACCAGCAAAAAACTATTCAAGAAAAAAAAAAAAACTGTCACTGCCCTTCCAAACCCGATTCCTCCATTTAAAACCATCAACTTAGACCTAAGACCTAACAAGCACCAAAAACATTAAAAAAAAAAAAAAAAAGACCTTGGCCAAAAAAGAAAGAAATCCAACCACATCCCTAGCGGGAACTTATGGTAAAAAAAAATAGTACCAAAAACAAAAAAAATAACAAAACAGGGGAGAGAGAAAAAGAAAGGAAGTTTTGATTTTGACCATAATTATTGATTTCGTTTCAGTATCGACCATACTGGTCAGTATGTCCTAATTATACCAAAATAAAGTACACTTAAAAATAATTTTTCATATCGGATTAGATATCGGATAATATCGATTATTTTCATTAATTTTGATGAATTTCGATAGATTAACTTGTTTCAGTCGATATGTGAATGTAAAACATGTTTTATAACGTTTAATATGTCTCTTATTGTTTAACTATTTTTAATCTAATAAAATAAAATTAATTAATAAAATAACTCTTAAAAGTTGAGTTTTTTATTTTTTATTGTAATTTATTTTCTTTTATACTTTATTTTTTCAAACTAAAATTCATAAATATTTCAATCTCTTTTAGAAAAGCAACTATGCTCCCTTTCTAAAGTTTAACAATCATGAAGCAAAGGTTAAATTTTTTCATCTATTTGTTTTTATCTTAATATTTGTATAAAAAATATTTATTTAAATATCATATGATCAAATTAAATATTTAAAAATATCATGAAAATTTTATGATATTATTTCTTATATTTTAAAACTTATTTATTTGATTTTTGAAAATAATGTATATTTATATTGTAAATTATTAAAAGTATTATAATGTACAAATTCATGTATATTTATAAATATATTTATACTAAATTGAAAAATCTAAAATAATATGTCGAAACAACTAGTACCGGTATATACCACATTTTAAAAAAAATTCAAAATGTTGTCCGATACTATATTAACAACCTAGGTTTTGACAAGGTTTAAGATTGTTTTGGGCTTTGATTTTTTTGGAGTCCTAAGAGCGAACCACAATCTCATTTTCACACTGATTCAACATAGGCTTTCAATTCATCCATGGAACCAAACATTTCACCTCTGCATTCATAAGTCTATGTAGGAAAGCCACCCATTCTTTTTTTTATTTCTACTATGGCCATTCATTTTCATAAAATTCTTTAATTGAAGCTTGATTACAAAAATAAAGCTTCGAGAAAGCACTTTTCTTACATTCAAAATGACTTTTTATCCTTAAGTATAACAATGATGCACACCCTACAAAGCATCCTCTTTTCTAGCGAAAATAACTCAATGACTTGATAGTTTCTGCCAATATTATTAGTGAGGGATTATAGCTTTTCTCCACCTATTCGAAAAGATCAACTACTGTTGTCTCTATATTTCTCAACACCTTTGGAAAGATCACTATTCCATATATTGCTAAAGCAAACATATCTAGCTTTTTCTCATCATATGGGTGTTTCATAATGAAGTCTTGAAGAAATTCTCGTGGTAAATAGACATGTTCACACTTTCGCTTTGTGTTCAAATCCATGGTCTCTTTATCAATGTTCATAAAGTTGGCCAACCTTTTACGAAATCTTGACTTGTGCTTTTTTATGAATATCTTACCTAGAGATTGGAGATGCAAACTTAATTGGTGATTTCTGCAAGTGTACTAGTCGTTCAAGTAACAATAATGACCTAAGTCAATATATCGTTCCCACAAGGATATGCTAAGAAATCCAGGCTAAGTACCTATTATTGCCACATTCTATTTCAAGTTAATCCCTTCGATTACAAGAAGCATCACTAGTTCTGTCTCAACAAGAAAGTAAAGACACAGAAGTAAAGTACACATAACCAAAAGCATACTTAGTAAGTGTAAAGAAAGCATACATGAAATCTTAAGGAAAATAGTAGCTAAATTGCATTGATTGAAATCAAACATCAATAAAAAATAAATCTAAACTAATGAACATGAATTAGAAAGCTAGAACAACAACCAAAGAGCAAGTGAAAGTTGAGAATATCAAAATTCAAACTATAACTGAATGTAACCAACTAAACTGCCACTAACTAACCATTAAACTTCCATTGAAAATGCATTTTTAATCCTACATGAATTCAATCTAAATAGATTTTTAGATGCAAAAACAACAATGAAACATGAATTAAAACACAATTGAGTTGAAGTTGTTAAAGAGAAATTGCAAAGAAAGATTAAAATCTTAGAAAACCAAAATCGCTTTCAATTCTAGAAATGCAACAAATTTGAAATTAAAACCTAGATCTACAATCCTAGAATGTGAATGAACTAAAACTAAGTTAAGCAAACTTAGATCTATAAATTCTCTTCAAGATCCAACAAAAAGATCAATCAAAGCAATGTATTTGCATGCTCAATGTACTTTCATAAGAATCAAGTGCAAAAATTGTAAAAATAGTGCAATCAAGAGAAAATTAGCCAAACAACCTTAGAAAACATCAAATTTAAAGCAAAAAATTGAATCTAAACAAGTAATCAAATGAATTAACAAGATCAAAGCAAGAATTAAATACCTAGCAATGAGAGAAGACTTCCTCAAGTGCTGTCACCATTTTATATTGCCCTTGCTGCATGATCCATAGCCAAATCTTTTAGGAATTTTAGAAAAAATTGTGGAATGAATTTACTAATGAAACTTTCCAGAGTTGAAGCAATATGAATCAAGAGTTTACAACAAAAAAAAAAATTAAGATCAAAAGTCACAAGAATTCAATGACATTTGATGTGAAAATTGAAGATAACTCAAGGAAGAAAATTACCAAACAATATTGAGTAATTAATGAAAAAGCTTGAAATTATTCAAGAAAACCTAAAGAAAAGTAAATTTTATTGCTTGAATCTTAAAGTGCATGAAAAGTAAAAGCAAGAACAATAAATTTTGTTGGAAAATGTAAAGAATTTTTTTCTAAATAACCCTCTTAAAAAACAAGGATGAAATTCTTAAAGAGAAAATTAACAAGCAAAATACAATAGATGAAAAAAAATCTAAAACTTCTTAAAACTCTTCTTTTTGGCTAGCCATCCTTTTTATTTATAGGAAAATGATGATGTGTTCCAACCCACTCA